GATAATGTACGTATACATTTATTGTTTATTATAGAGGAAGATGATTCTCAATGAAATTATTATTTGACACGTAATTTTGTATCGATTATCCTTAGTTCCCTATAAAAATGGTGCAATTAACGCGAATCTGCTCCCTTCCAATTGAGGGGAATGACGTCCAGCGCTACTCGAGACGATTCCAGGAAAATAATGTACCGGAGAAATGTCATCGTCTCTTGATTCACAATCCTTCGTTCTACCGAGAATAATCCGTTCGTTTCCGTTCAGAAGTCGTGAGATTCATCATTAACGACTCGAAGTTTCTTCGATCTGATTGGGGTCTCACGCAAAATTGTTAAGTGATACTAAGACAATTAAAAACTTCATTGTGGATGGGTAGAAAAATAGGATAACGGTACAGGAGTCTTAGGTTCTGAAGGATACTATAAGGATATTATAAGATAATTATTTTATTTGTGTGAAGGACTTTTTAATTGCTTAATAGAGTGAATCTAATGAGTATTGAAAATAAATACATAGATTAGCCAGTGGCTTATGAAGAGGAACGCTTGTTCCCTATTTCTTAACGAACTTGAAAAAGATCAAATCAGGAGAAAACGTTACCGTGACGCGTGAATAAAAGATAAGTAAACGGGAAGATTATGTTAAACTCGTTAAAATTCGTCTGCTGTCCGAATGGGGAAAAATATTCTGTTAACAGAATCGGACGTACGCTTGTTCATTGTCATTATCATCTTCATCGAGCATTCGTTCGATACGCTCGTTATCCTCAGAATCTCGGCTGCAATTAATTCAAGCTGTTGTATGGACAGCGACGTATCGCAATTATTACTATTATCGTCATCTCCTCTATTATTAGCGTCTCTCCGCGGCTCTGTGTACCGAGATGCATCTGTGCATGTATGCGTACACGCTCGGTGCAAGCCGTTTCTGACGTAGTCTAAAGTCACGAGCCGTCGTCGCCACTTATTAATTGCACGTTCCCGCGAGAGACGGACCACTTCTTCTCCTTCCATCCATGGATGCTGCATAAGAAAGTCTCCTTGCGCGCTGCGCCGCGCGCTATGCCACGCCGCCGCGCCTCGTATTACGAGACTGATTGCTACGCCTTTATCGACCACGATAATTAACCGAATCATACGTACGATACCGCTAATGACGCACACACTTGACCACGCGGGATGTCCCCCACGGAAAAAAAGCTGCTCCCGAGATATCTGCTGATTTATTTATAAAAACACATTAATGCACCGGTGATTCTCGTGGAGGAAACGAACTGGCTAACGACGTGTCTCCGCGGTCCCGGGCGCAGAAAAAGAGCTCGCGTGCCAACGGCGGAACGTGCAGCTGTGAGAGGACCGAGCCTCTTCTAGGCGACATACCATCGACGACCGTAATGTACCTAGGATAAAGTAAGCGTAGGACATAACAACTTCTGCCTATTAGACATTTTTACGTTCACCGAGAAGTAACAAGTAACAAGTCACATCATCCAATAAGATCACATTTGTTCTTTGCACAGGAAGAGATATGAATCTGTGTATCAGTTCCTAATAGCACGCGTGCACTTCCTTTCGTAAACGAGATTAATGACAAGAGAAACATTGCAGTTGTATGGTGGCTATAACTACGAACTTCGTTTTACATATTCGTCCATGTGAAGAACCGAAAATGTAATGTGTCCGAGGGTGTTAATAAAATGTGAAGAAATTAGTGATCTTTACTTTAGAAGCCTTTCAATCGGGGGATATTATTCGTGTGATTGTACAGGAGGAGGAAGACAGAAGAGCGATGTTCAATGATCTGTGGCAGATGGTATCACGGTACACCTGTGAGCGGCACGGCCGATGGAACCGCGGAACGTGCCGGCGTAACATCGAGCTTCCAACAGGCTGATCGTAAAGTAGAGTCGAGATCGCTTCGTTTAGATGCTCGGCTTCCACACGGAAAGTGGGGATAAACCGACGGAGGCCGTTTAGTGGGGATACCTCGTCGCTCGCGGGGAGTTATGAATGAGTCGTGGAGTTCTGACCCACGAGTGTCACGTGGTGGGGGTGGCGGTAGTGGTGAGAACGTGAAGCAAAAGGGGGGGGATTGCACGATCGGCGGCAGGAGGAGGCGGCGATAGTGGCGAAGGAGCAAAAGGAAAAGGAACCCGGGCGAAGAAGAAAGAATAGAAAACAAGCGAAGAGTAATGAGAGATTTTTGGGCGAACAAGGAAGGGAGAAAGGAAGTGATCGGAGAGTGGACGATCAAAGGAGAACGACAGGGTATTCTATAGTAGGGGTACTTAGGATTGATTGAAAGCGGGATATGGGCCACGTGCTTCGGTGCCTTTACGATCGTATATAGGCACCGGTCGACCGAGTGGTCACTACCATACGCTGATAGTCATACACCCGAGTCGCGCGAGATAAAAGAGGAAAAGGAACGTCGTCCGCGAGGAAGAGGTAAAAGAGGAAAGGAAGGAAGAGGAAAGAGCACGAGAAGAGAATACAATATAGACAGAGAGGGAACAGGCAAGAGAAACGACCTACCGACAAGCAAGGCAGACAGACAGAAGTCCGCCTTCCACTTCCATTGCCAACCTTACGCAGGTTCACTCCTACTATAACGACGAACGAACAGCCTGCCTCTGCTCGCTCGCCTGCCTATAGCTGGCTTCTCCTTCTCTGTTTCTATACCTACCTACCTACCTTCTCGGCGCGCCGTGGTTTAACTCGGACAGAGGCGAGAGGTGATACACTCGATACACTCAGCCGGACGAGGGCGACGAAGACCTCAGTCACCTTCTGACATTCGGTATGGTACGACCTTACCCCACCGCCGTGCGGTTAACAAGGTATCGCCGAAACAAGGGTTGAGAACGTTCCGAAAAGACCCGAGACACGGGATCGAGGTGGACAGCCCATGAAAGGGATAATCACCTAGAGCGAGAGAGAGAGAGAGAGAGAGAGACCAAGAAATCGGGAAAAACCAAGAAAAGAACGATAAACGAAAAAAAAGAAAGGGCCGTCGCACAGCTACCATCGACGCGGACCACCCTTAACGGTGTACTAAGCTGTCGATTCCCCCCTCCTCACGGCACATTCTTAAGCACCTACCTCCCCTCCTCCTCTTCTTCAACCTCCCTCTGAGACAACTCTCGTAACCCCCTTCTCTCCCCTCGTATAAAAATCAGTGCATCGCGTGTGACGGGATCAGTACTAAACGGGTTGTGATTCTGTGCGGACAGTTTTTCAAGTGTGACCATCGTCACCGGTAGCCGGAGCACACGGGACAGTCCTGACGGAGCAGACACAGAAGTCTACGGCATTCTGTCTTCTATTATTTATTTTTAAATAAATATAACACGACGCCTGACAAGCAGTTATCCACACGATTCGTAACCACCACGACAGTATATACACGCTCGATGACAGGGTGCCACTGACCCGCGCCTTCACGCAGCTAGTACGGTGTAGCGTTGGAGCGGAGACACGCGAGGATAGATACGCGTCTCGCTTGCTCCTTGGCTGCCACGCGCCACCGCGAGTGCCTGCGTGCGTCGAGAGAGTGATCAAGTGCTATGCGAATATGACAGTCGCGAAGAACACATCGGTCGCTAAAGATCGGCAGTTGACAATGGAGGCGATTCTAGTTCGTGACCAAAGAACCACCTCGCACAGGGTTCTCGATCATGACACCTCGGCGAATTACTTGGCCAACGGGAAACCAGCTGGCAACACGATGACAACAACGACGAAGAAGTGTAAAACCGTCCTTAACGCGAACTACCAATACGCGGCAGTAATTGCACCGAGAATAGAAAGTAATGTCCACAAGAAGAAACACTTGCCATGTGATTCGTGCCTCGTACCTGCTTTTTACGACGACCGAAGGATACGCGCATCCGTCACCGCGACCACGTGGTTGAGTAAGTCGAACTACTGACTACAGAAACCGATGATGTTTTGGTACCAACGATTGCCGATAAAACACATGCGCGGTAACTGTTGCATCTTCTTTTTATTTTACACGACTTGATTCGAGAATTCATTCAGTCGGTTTTTATCCTAAATGTATGATATTTTAGACATATGCCAAGCTCTTTTTATTTAGTTACGTGCAATGTTTGAGGCGATCTGTTGGAACTGTTGCCAATTTGATACTCGCTAAGAGGATTCAAGCTAGGTCTTATAAAGCAATTTATCGTTATTAAAAAGTGCATAATCGTTTGTCGAGAAGGCCACTTAACTAAGAAATCCTGATATCTTCGACATGAGATTTCACGATTATAGACAGTAATAGGAATTGTCACAATCATTTCAGATTAGGTACCCTACGTTGTTATTTTATCATAACCGAAAGTTTGTTGTCAAAATAAAAGTTACATCTACCATCCGGTTGCAATGAGTTCCCCGAAATTGATACACTTGCAGATAGGCTTCGTTCTCTGCTGCAGACATACATACAGACGTTCAAATGCTCGTTTCATATGATCGCTATTACTAATTAGATTAATTAATTAATCAAAACCTAATTGGCGTTATATCTGAAAGTTTCCCGTTATCTTTCAATTGATTATAACGTCATTGCTTATTTGGAATCATTCAATTAATGACTAGTGTTTTCGATGCAAGATATTATTATAGGCAATTAAACCGCGTTGAAATCGTTTAACGAACTGCATTTAACAGAAAAGAACGTGTATCGTTAGGATGGGTGTCATTCGTTATCGCGTCTCTGCTCACTCGATGTGCAATAGTATACATCAACACACTTGATGCTGACTCACGTAAAATCAATGCTTTCTTACGTAATGATCGTACAGCATCTTTCCCTGGCTTTGTTTTTCTTCTCGTTTGCTCGAGCCATGCTTTTCCTTACTTTTGTTCATTCAAACGCGAACCATAAGTTCAGTGACGAAAGAGCGCACGCAAAGTTCAAGTTTGCATTCCATTCGCATCATGCCTAGAATTTATGTACGTTGCCACTTCATGATTTCTGTGTGGAAGTAAAAAATACTTGAGCTGAGGATGAGAATCCGCGAGAATCACCTGTTGCGGTGAGGTCTGATTCTCCGTTCGAGTTACGTACCAGGCAACATTTCTGATCATTAACGACGATCACGTCAGTACGCGTCACAATACGTCATTTCCGAAACGGAACCAAAAATCTGAAGATAACCCACGTGCATCGCACGACAGTCGAACGTAACAGGTGCATCCAAACGTGATCGTGCAATGTGTTTCGACTGATCACTTTTCTCTATTGGCATTCTCTCTGCCCGTTTGACGTCACTTTTGAACAAGTCGATGAACGTATTAGTCATCCTCCTTGTAACGGTCCCTCTTAACGATTCGTCTTCGCCCGTTATTTTCTTAAAATTAATTCACTTGCATACATTGTTCTATTTTTGCCCATCTCTTCCTATGCCGTTTCAAATCGGACGACGAAAATGTCTAATAGACCATTCGTATTGGTGTGAAAGAGAAATTTACTATCGATTTTAATAGTCACGTTGTGAATATCAACCTGTTGAACATTCACCGGTACAGGCACTCGCAGAGAACTCCGAGCAATCCCCCGGTGATTCGTAAAATTTTCATGCACCACCCATACAAATAAAATGTCTCTCTGTACACATCTGTGACACATCACGTCAATTCGCTGTTTGTTCAGCATCAATGACATTCCTTACAAATTACTATCGGCTTGGAATTAGACTCATAACTGTGTTTCCCGTTTCTACAGCTGGCTGTAATTAATACGAAAGGATACGATCTATTCTTTAGAGTCGATTTAGTAATATTGACATAATGGCATTTCATTAATCATTCTGGGTGGAAATTCATAGAAAACTTGTACCGATGACGCATACGTAAAAGAGATAAAAATATTGTTATCCAATTATTACATCACACTATGAAGTTGACACTACAATTCAGGCGAACGGTTCCTTGATTCATTCATACTCTCAGTAATGTAACACTGAATGACTATTAATCATGATATTCTCAACGAAATGAATTGCGATTTAAAAATAACCCGATTTAATACGATCTGAACGGAACTTCGGAGGATGGTTAGACGGGGCCGGCCACAGGAGGTATCGCGTTAGTGTCGGGGTGTAGACGGTGGTGATGCAAAATTCATCGTTGAGCGAAGTAAATTTAATAGACAAAAAAGGGTGTACAATAAATCGGCGAACGTATACATTGGCGGTGCGCGCCGCGACCTACCGCAACGCGCTTCAGTCCGGGCATGGACACGATCTGGATGATAAGAGGGTGGCGGGACGGGCGTAATGGGGTATAATTGTCGCGAGCAATGCGAGGACAGTGCGTCATTACCGCATTTTTCACCATCTTCTTGCCGACCAACAGCAGAGATGCGTTTGCACCGGTGTCCGCTGCTCTTTGCGCGCCTTACTTTTTTCCATGCGGCCGCGGGTTCTTTGGAATTTCGTTGGAACGCCGTCGCCGAGCGTCGTCGTTGAGGTAGGTCCTAGCTGTACACCGTCCAGGCCACACGGGGCGAAAGTACAAAAGATCCGAGTGTCCACCGTTAGATAACCGCGTACACCGAATATCCGCGATATAACGTACGATTAGGTGAAAAGAGAGTAATTCGACAATCATAAGTTGAATATATGTATCTAGGGAATCGTTCAGTTTCATGCTTGAGCAACCCTCTAACAATCGAGAATAGTAAGGATGTTAGCATTTGCAGTATGCATTTAACGATTCATGTCCAAAAGAAGTACGACAGTTCTCTTTCTGCATAAGAGTAGATTAGGTGTTATTAATATTGTGTTCGGGATAGATAACGCTCGTCCTCTAACGACAATCGAGATTGCAATTTCTGTACGAAGCAAATCGGATGATGCATTCCAACTGGGAAGGTTGAACGTTACGAGCCACAGGTGGCTCTTTCGGTTTCTTACAGCTTAAGAATGCGAACTTGCTCGAAAGAGCGCACCCATCATCGCAATTCCGTTCCCGGACAAATTTGGCCGGTCACGGAGGACATATCGTATGGCAATTAACTTTCAGCGTTGCAAAAACGCGGCGCAATTAAAGGAACTGGAGAAAGTACGCGATGCGTATACCGCGCGACAAGTAAGGAAATATAATCGTAGACGCCGAGATCATTTACGTGGATCATGAGAACTTCTGGTACGATAAAAATACTTGCCGCATTATTGAATAGACACTTTTTCCAAATGTACACGGTTGTTTGCGCGTGTTAACGGAAAATCGGTACGTTAACGATATCGTTTCCACGGTGCCGGCAGATACTAATTGCGTCTTTATCCGTCTTAATCGTCGTTCCGCCGAGTCGTTCAGCAGCGGGAATTCATCGGAAACGTGAAAACAACAAACCGTAATCCACCGGCACTGTTGCGTCGTTCTCATTACGCGTTTTAACAAAGCGGCAAAAATTGATCGAAGAGCATGCGCGTATCCGCTTATCGTCGCGTCGCGTCGCGTCGCGCCGTCGCGCCGACGAGCTCACGTGGCCGATGCGAGTGCGTGCGGGTAAATTCACGTGACTTCCATCAAAACTTCCTGTGGACACCGTACGAACGATGTGTGACCTATCTATTTTCCGCCGAATTCCACTCTAATTAGTCAAATTGATAACGCGGCGCGTGCCTTCTCATTTATCGAGTCGAACATTTTTGTTTACCAATTCACTGACAATGAGAACTAATGCGAAATAAAGGGAATTGAATTTCTAATAGAACAACCCCTGGCCGAGTCGGATTAATAAGGAAAGGGTCACCATCTCTAGGCGACGTGGCCCGGATTCGCACAGTTATATATTTCGGGGCGTGAACTTCCCCTCGGTAAAATTTACTCGCTTGCCGAGACGCGAAACGCACTTAAGAGCCGCTTATTAATATGCGTTAAATGTCCGAGGTGCCTCCCCGGCCTCTCCCCGACGCTACCTCCTTTTCACTATATCCTTTTTTCTTTCGCTTCGTCCGCTTATTTTTCTCCTTGCGACTCGGGAACGCGTTCGTCATACGCGTTGCATCACGCGTTCCTGCACATTAAAATTAAATTCGTTAGCGCCCGTACGATCGTACAACATACCTACGTTTTTTAGACCTTGATGCAACCGTTACACGAATCGATTCTCTTTCCAATCTTTTCGCGACTACGATACACTTTTTCGACATATCGCTTATCCGTGTAAACAACAGAAGTTTTAATTTAATTTAAATCATACTAATTGCGATCGATCAATGAAGTACAAAAATAGAAATAATAGAAGACCATTTGATTTAACAGATTTTTAGAAACTCTTAATAGAAATTCCAATATACGTAATTCTATCAGCAACAGCAATGCGTTTAATGGACAGATTTGCGTTGCATTGATACATTGACGGGAAATCACGCTGTTTAGATCAATGAAAGCGACGTTAATGCTTGAGCAGCGATCGCGTAACAAATCAGATCCGAGGATATTCGCTCGGGACGCGCATACCTACTTACCGCATCACAGACGAAAGAGGAGAATGTTTAAACCGGAGAGAGAAAACTCGTACGCGCGCGGTAGTGGCTGCGAGGTGGTTATACATACATCGTATCGTCCGAATGCGTACGCGACTGCTGATGGTTTGTCGTCGTAGCGGTACACGTGATCCCAGGCCCCTCATCAAGGGTCGTAACTCGTGAAATAATGCGACGACGAATTCGCGTGGATATAATTCGACGAGCGGTGATCCCGAAACTGCCGGATGATCATAAGACGGTCTCGATCGAAATCTACCATTTAGGCGTTTACTATCGGCGAAGAGAGCAACAGAGGGCGGAGGGGGAGGGAAGGAGGTATGCAGAAAAGGTGGAGAGAAGCAACAAGCCGGAAGCCCGGCGATGATTTCTCTCGAGGGCATCCTCCCCTCGTCCGAGTCTCACGTCAAATCGTTGATTACTACCGTACCGGTGTGCTGGTCCTTATCTTTTTCTTAATACGCGGACAATTCCGTTAATAACGTACTAGCGGCGGTTAGTTACGAATTGGAAATAAGTACATCGGAATCGAAAGTACAACGCGCCGCGCGACGTGTACGTATCGGAATTAACCCAACTGCCTTTTCAACGCTTCGATTCCGTCCCATCCTCTGGTATTTTCTGCGAGCGCGGATCGCGTTGAAAAATGTGCCGCGACGACCACGCGGCGTACTAACCATGTCGCATATAAATTGGCATGCACGATTTTGAAACGCTGAATCTCCCGGCGTTTAACCGATTATTAGGTGTCCCCGGGGGCCACCTGCCTTTAAGTCAATTCAGAGCCTATTTCTCCGACGATTACACATTTTTCTCCAACGCAGTCGATTTGTACGTGATCAGCGAGTCGCGGGTTTACATACATACTTGAGATCGCCTCGCGTGTCGCGTTCATCGTATAATCATTCCGATTCGATTTTCAGGGTTAGGCAGTCTTCTGGTGACTCTGCTCGTGGTATCGGTGCACGGCGCTCCGACGATGACCCTCGAGAACAGACGACTGAGTTCGCCCCCGAAATGGGTGAACCCTTGCGGCCTTGCAGCCGAAGACTTTACGGGTGATTTGGACGTGGTGCAGCTAACAGACTCGCAGCTTCTTCAGCAAGTTGTCGTTCAAGCGAAAACTGCGTTAATGCACGCAGAAATTTTTCGTGACGATTATGTAAGTACTTACTCGCTATTCTTTTATTTATTTCTCTTACATTTATCATTACTAGTGGTCTCAGTCTTCCGATTCGGCACTAAGTATTCTAAATAAATGCAACTCGCGATATTCGTACTATGTTTTCGTAAATACTGAGATCAATTGCTTTTATTTCTCTGTTACATTATTAATACTTTTTACCATTTTATATATTTGATACATACATAAATTGAATTTAATGGAGAAGTCATTAATGTTAAAAATGATCACGAAACTGAGATCACTGGCTTATATTGTATTTATCATCGTCTTTCTTCTGAATAATACTTACCACTCAACTAAATACGATTCCAAACCTTTTCGTAACACGTAGCGTGTCTCGCCCGCGCGCGGTATCGTCAATCAGAAACGAAGATTAAGTTCATCAATGGTTCAATAATTACCGACGTGACTTCTGGTGGGGATTGAACGGGGAAAGGGGACATCAAGCGGAAGGCAGTTATGGCAGTACTTCCGGTCGTACGGACGTTGATCGTAGAGTCGCACAGACCTTCGAAAGAGATCTCAGACTTACGAATCGTCTTTTGTAGCCGCTCGAGTATATGTGCTAACGGATTAGATATTACGCAGCTTTGATTCCCCTTTCCCGTACGCAAACGACCTATAATCAATGTTTTATTAAAAACGCGTCTTGTGCATTGCGTGAAAAGGAAATAAGTTAAAACGTAACACGTGGGTTCACGAAAACGAAAGTAGAGCATATTAACGAGCTGTACAAATTCGATGACTATTAAATTATTCATTCTATATAAAACATTTGTCCTCGACCAAAAGAAGTTTTCAT